TAGGTTGATTGCTCAAATGCTGTACACTTCAACAATACCCCAAAGGCACATATCCTTTCTTCGCTTAAGGTCTTTTTAGAGGAAAACATCACAAAAAATACAAAAAACTACACGAGCAGCAGCGATTATGGCTCTGCGCATTTGATTGGTTGATCCTCGACCAATGAGGTGCAAGCGCTCTGTGATTCGCTCAGTATAAAGTGCGTGTGGACGTTCGTTGACACCATAGAATACCTCATTTGTAGATTAACATGAGCTCAAAGCCGATCGCTCAGAGTGACTTTCCCATCGTCTATGATGGAGGCAGCAATTCATTAAAGGAGAGTAGTGTCGTCGGTCCTCAAACGTGTATGCTTGATAAATTGCGACGCACAAAGTCAATGCCCAAACGAGGACAAATGGAGAAGCCAAAAATGAATACTGTGAGAACCGAATCACCTCCAGCAAAATGTGACTATTTTAAGGGCTTTAATCGAGCCAAATCTCGGTTTTTCCATTCCTGCCGCCTCACGAAATCAGAGAAGAGTGAAAAATCACCAAAGAATCCCCTTTCTACCGCCTTTTGCAAGCACAATCATTATCAACCGCAGCATTCTAGGCCGTCTGTGGTTTCCGAAACGGATACAGTTGCATCCACGCTTTCTTTCGATGAAGAGGATAAAAATGATGAAGAGGACAATAATTTATCTGGCAACTACGAGCATCCCATGCTCGCGGAGTTGGAGGCCGAACTGACTGTTCCACCGCCACCGCCTAGAGCTCGTCCAGCATGGCTCAAATCTGCGTTGGAGAAGTCTCGCGAGACCTCAGAATCGTCTCGACAGGCAAGAGCTCCATCTCCCGTGGATATTGCCTCCTTGGCCGCGTCTGTCTACTCCGAGGATGGCAGTTTCCTGAACTACTTTGACGATGAGGAGAACAACGGTCATGAGGATGTCAGAATCTATCCAGTCTTGCAGAATGGTATTAAGATCAGTGACACTCATTACTGGGTTATTAATCCTCCCAAAAGTCGATCAAGACATTGGCAAGATTCAAGGATCACTTCTGCCGGTAGACCGACCAGTTTATCCACCAAACTATTGCATGAAGACCATCCACATTACGAAAACCTTCCAGACACTTCAGCATGCTCTTCACCTGGAACAAATATACAAAGCGAGGACTTCCAATCGACCAAACTCCAAAGAGACAGATCTGAGTGCAATAAAGAGGTGTTGCGACTCATTCAACGAACCCTAGTTGAGAAGTTGCAAAGTCAAGTACCCAATGCAAGACCCGATGAATGTCGAGCTGTTCTAATTGGCTCAAGTTGGAATTTCCAAAAGGCGCAAAAACGTCTAAAAGTAGAGCTACTTTGTCGGTTGGGCTGCGCCTCTAAATCCACCTGTGAGCGAATTCTCGAAAGGATGGATTGGGATTTTGATGCAGCTACCGACTACATACGCAGTAGTGATAGTCCTGGCCAACCCACTCCTCTTCCCATCTATCGTGCGGCGCTATCACGCACCGCCAGCAGTACTGGCGATTCGGCCAGCGTCACACCTGACAACTCGCCCGACATCCTCTACCTTAACGCCACATCCGCACCGTTTTCCTGATGCAATCAACATGCTGTCAATGTGTATAGTCGATGCCTTTATAAGGTCCTTTCCTTCTCCCTCTCTCGCCATTCCACTGGATCTTCAAGACGCACAACACAACGATCGCGTTCAAATTAACACGCACTCACATGCACTTGAATACGAAAAAAGCACTGCATTTAGAAAGCCTGCTTTACTGTTTCACTATTCCTTCCAAATTGTACCTAACTGATACAAAAAAATATTAAAAAAGGAATAGAGGTGAATTTTTTTCCCCGGGGGGTTGGAAAATTTGAGCTCTCCCCTTCTACCCTATGTTTGCATTTGTGCCTATGCGTAAGTGTATGTGCACGCCCGCACGTGCTTACCTGCCTCCTCCAATAAAATACCACGACAAGGTGATACGTGGGCACATAATTATCGATCCGCTCCGTGAATGGACTGAAGGTGTAGACGCGCACGCGCTCGCGCATGGCGGCATGTTACGCCTCCTTCACCTCTCCCCCCTTC